CTTATTTTGCATTTCTCTAATGACCAAGGATGATAAGCATTTTTTCATATGTTTGTTGGCTGCATATTTGTCTTCTTTTGAAAAGTGTCTGTTCATATCCTTTGCCCACTTTTGGATGAGTTTGTTTTTCTCTTGTTTTAGTTCTTTGTTGATTCTGGATATTAGTCCTTTGTCAGATGGGTAGATTGCAAAAATTTTTTCCCATTCTGTTGGTTGCCGGTTCACTCTAATGATTGTCTCTTTTGCTGTACAGAAGCTCTGAAGTTTAATTAGGTCCCATTTGTCTATTTTGGCTTTTATTGGCAATGCTTTTGGTGTTTTAGTCATGAATTCCTTGCCTATGCCTATGTCCTGAATGGTTTCGCCTAGGTTTTCTTTTAGGGTTTTCATGGTGTTAGTTCTCATGTTTAGGTCTTTAATTCATCTGCAGTTAATTTTGGTGTGAGGTGTCAGGAAGGGGTCCAGTTTCTGCTTTCTGCACATTGCTAGCCAGTTTTCCCAACACCATTTATTAAACTGGGGATGCTTTCCCCATTGCTTGTTTTTGTCAAGTTTGTCAAAGATCAGATGGTTTTAGTTGTGTGGCATTGCCTCCAAGGCCTCTGTTCTGTTCCATTGGTCTATGTCTCTGTTTTGGTACCAGTACCATGCTGTTTTGATTACTGTAGCCTTGCAGCATAGTTTGAAGTCAGGCAGCGTGATGCCTTCAGCTTTGTTCTTTTTGTTTAGGATTGTCTTGGCTCTGCGGGCTCTCTTTTGGTTCCATACGAAGCTTAAGGTGTTTTTTTCCAGTTCTGTGAAGAACGTCATTGGTAGCTTGATGAGGATAGTGTTGAATCTATACATTACTTTAGGCAATATGGCCATTTTCATGATATTGATTCTTCTTAAGAATGAGCATGGAATGTTTTTCCATCTATTTGTGTCCTCTGTGTCCTCTCTCATTTCGTTGAGCAGCGGTTTGTAGTTCTCCCTGAAAAGGTCCTTTACACTTTTTGTTAGTTGTATTCCTAAGTATTTTATTCTCTTGAGGTAGCAATTGTGAACGGCAGTTCATTCTTGATTTGGCTCTCTTTAAGTCTGTTATTGGTGTATAGGAATGTTTGTGATTTCTGCACACAGATTTTGTATCCTGAGATTTTGCTGAAGTTGCTTATCAGTTTCAGGAGATTTTGGGCTGAGACGATGGGGTCTTTAAATATACAATCATGTGGTCTGCAAATAGAGACAATTTGAATTTCTCCTTTCCTATTTGAATTCCCTTTATTTCTTTTTCTTGCCTGATTGTTCTGGCTAGAACTTCCAATACTATATTGAATAGGAGTGGTGAGAGAGGGCATCCTTGTCTAGTACTAGATTTCAAAAGGAATGCTTCCAGTTTTTGCCCATTCAGTATGATATTGACTGTGGGTTTGTCATAAATAGCTTTTATTATTTTGAGATACATTTCATCAACACCTAGTTTATTGAGAGTTTGTAGCATAAAGGGCTGTTGAATTTTGTGAAAGCATTCTCTGCAAGTATTGAGATAATCATGTGGTTTTTGTCTTTGGTTCTGTTTATGTGGTGGATTACCTTTATAGATTTGTGTATGTTGAACCAGCATTGCATCCCCAGGATGAAGCCTACTTGATCATGATGGATAAGTTTTGTGATGTGCTATTGCAATAGGATTGCCAATATTTTAATGAATATTTTTGCATCTATGTTCATCATGGATATTGGCCTGAAGTTTGCTTTTCTTGCTGAGTCTCTGTCGGGTTTTTGTATGAGGATAATGTTGGTCTCATAAAATGATATGGAAAGGATCCCCTCTTTTTTGATTGTTTGGAATACTTTAAGAAGGAGTGGCACCAGCTCCTCTTTGTATGTCTGGTAGAATTCAGCTGTGAAGCAATCTGGACCTGGGGTTTTTTAGTTGGTAGGCTATGACTTGCTTCCTCAACTTCAGCCCTTGTTATTGGTCTATTCAGGGTTTCGACTTCTTCCTGGTATAGGCTTGGGAGGATACAAGTGTCCAGGAATGTATCCATTTCTTCAAGGTTTACAAGTTTATGTGTATAGAGTTGTTTGTAGTAATCTCTGATGGTGGTTTGCATTTCTGTGTAATTGGTGGCGATATCCCCTTTATCGTATTTTATTGCACCTATTTAATTCTTCTTTTTTCTTTTTTATTAATCTGGCTAACAGTCTGTCTATTTTGTTGATCTTTTCAAAAAACCAGCTTCTGGATTTATTGATTTTTTTGAAGAATTTTTTGTGTCTCTGTCTCCTTCAGTTCTGCTCTGATCTTGGTTATTTCTTGTCTCCTGCTAGCTTTGGAGTTGTTTTGATCTTGCTTCTCTAGCTCTTTCAATCTTGATGATAGGGTTTCGATTTTAGGTCTTTCTTCTCTTCTCATGTGGGCATTTGTTTCTATAAATTTTCTTGTAGACACTGCTTTACATGTGTCCCAGTGATTCTAGTACATTGTTTTCAAAGAACATCTTAATTTCTGTCTTCATTTCATTGTTTATCCAGTCAACATTCAAGAGCAAGTTGTTCAGTTTCCATGAAGTTGTGAAGTTCTGAGTTAGTTTCTTAATCCTGAGTTCTAATTTGATTACACTGTGGTCTGAGAGACTGTTTGCTATGATTTCCGTTCTTTTGTATTTGCTGAGGAGTGGTTTACTTCCAATTTTGTGGTCAATTTTGGAGTAGGTGTGATGTGGTGCTGAGAATGTATATTCTGTGGATTTGTGGAGGAGAGTTCTTATGTTAGGTTTGCTTGGTGCAGACCTGAAATTCAAATATGAAATGTATTTTCCTTAATGCATAAAAAGCAGCACTTTTTAAAATCAGGGTATCACACTGATTTCATAATTGACTAGTTTAGATATGTATAAGCAAGTAATCATTTAACTGATTACTTTTTATAAGACTAGTCAACCTGAGTTAGCTATTAAGATGAGGCATTGTAAGTGGCGAATATTTTACCAAAATATCATATAGTTATTTTTCACATTTATTTCGATATAGAAATTCTTTCAATCATTTTATAATAACACTTTCTTCAAAGTTTGTTTAAGTACATTTCAAAACATTTTATTTATTACCTTTTGTTTCAGTTTTGGTACTGATTAAATGCAATTATATAAATAACATGCTCTGCTTTCACTGTTCAAGTTTTCACACTAAATGTATGAAGAAAAGTCACAGTATTTGGATCCTTATTGCACTCTTTTAACCAATTCACTTTTCCTCTCAACAAAAATCAAGTATCAGAAATGAGGGCGGCTTTTGTGTCCAGATGATATTTTCAGTGGTAGTGTTACTGAGGAAAGTGAAGAAACTTCCCAGTATACTCTGTGAGATAGAAAGTGTCTGTAGAGAATAACCAGGAAAACAGACTGACAAAGGATAACACCTATTGTTATAACCTTGTCCCTTTGGTAGTTACTAAAAATGACAGAAATGCATGCAAGAACTGGATGGCATAAAAGCTACAAGGTACAGCCTTTGGCAACTGTGATGTAGAACTCCCTTTTGAGTATACTTCTCTCCACTGTGATGATCTGATAGAGTCCACCGCCTAATGACAATGCTAGGCAAATTCTTAGAATGATTAGGAGGATCCCTGCTAAGTTGTGGTGTGAATGGTAGCTATGATGACTGGTATCTTCAAACTGTTCCCAAAGTAGCAAAATACTCTGTGTCATGACAGTGAATACTGCAATGCTGGTGGATGCAGGGGTAGAATCCCACTGGAGAGGTCTGCTTTGAGACTTCTTCATTCTATTATCCAACCCATGCATAGACTCAAAAGTAGGTATGACATCTGAATTTGGGAAGCGATGTCAAAAAATTCTGCCAAACTTCCCATAAATGGTACCCATATTCCATCTTTGGAGTAACTGAAGAAATGAATGTAATTAGCTAAAGCTGAACAAGCTGGAACAGCAATGCAGTTGCCAGAACCTTTAAAATCATGTGCATAGGTCCTCCTTTCTTAATAGCCTGCCACAATGCAGCACAAATGCAAGCAATCACAAAGTACACTAGGACTAGGAGGAAGAAGAATTCATGTAACCAGGATTCTCCAGCACTAAAATGATCATCTGGGTTTAGTAACACCATTTCAAATGGGACATCATCCAACTGATGTACCATCCTTGTCATCTTGGCATGTATACTTGTCTGCATAAAACACATGCCATGTTTGTGGAGATGGAATCTGGGACACTGTCAGATTATGTTCAGTCTGGTTCATGGTCATTGTCAATTGAGCTTTGGATGATTTTTTACTACAGCTATAACCATGACTGCTTTCCTGTGGCTTTAGCCATTCCTGAGCTTAGAACAGGTAGAGTTTAGCTTCTTTTTCAACAGCTATGGCTATGTTGTTGATTTTGACACACAGAAGAGCATGGTCACCATGGAACTTGAACTGGCCTATGCGCTGGCCCTGAGCATCTTGGGCCACTGTGCTGCTGAAGCTGCCCCACAGGGTCTTACCCTGGCTGCCCTGTGTCCACCAGCAGCACGTGAGGGCCACCACCAGCAGCCACAGCCCCACCATACCCACCTCCTGCTCTGCACAGACACCACGGCTCCCCAGCTATCCTGTTTTTAGAGGAAGATTTTGGAAGACTCAAAACTATTCTGTTTCTGCATTTTTCAATAATCCTGTCATAGAAGTTACTTACTGTCATTATTTTTTAACATAGATAATGTAAATGTCCTGGTATTCTATATCATTTTATTTTTATTTATGGCTTTAGGCATTGATTCACTGAATGATTCTTTTATTCATTCAAAAATGACATTTATTTATTATCTATTACATGTACTTTTTATCTATTTATTATCTATTACATTACAGACTAAATGGGACTGAGAAACAGAATGTTCCAGATATGATATCAGGTGATTTAACATGGAATATCCAATTTACCCTTGAGAAGAACACAGTTTCCTGAAAGTAATTATGTTGCCAAAGTTTACAGACAACTTCAGTACCAGGTCTTCGAGTTTATTGTACAATTGAATGAAATATGTTGCTTAAGAAATTGTTTGATGTTTACAATTGGCCACTAGGCTAGGCACTGGAAACAGAAATATATGCCAGTCTTGTGTGTGTGTGTGTGTGTGTGTGTGTGTGTGTGTGTATGTGTTTACCTATTCTCTAAATTAAAAACTTTACTATGGATGAGCCCATTATTATTTTTGGTAGAAATTAAAGCCAACATTGAAAGGCTAAAATAAATATTAAGTATTTTATGTGCTCACACAGACATACATAAAAAAATAGGCGAGATCATGCTATTGAAGGCTTAACATTAGTCTTTGCTTTTAAATTGTTTAGGATAGGAAATCAATTCAGGTTGCATTGCAAGGAATAAATATTAACTGTTCTACCAGTTGAGCATTGTATTGTTATTACTATAGAGTATTTCTGGGTGAGATTTAATTGCTACTGAAGCTCATCATTTATTATACACACACTTAGATTTCTTCTCATCAATATAGTATTTGCATTTACGGGTGCTCTAATGCCATGCTACTCAAAATATGGTCAATGGATCAGTAGCATCCAAATCGCCTGGGACCTAGAGATGGAGAATCTGGGATCTACTGAATCAGAATCTGGATTTTAACAAAATCCTCAGGTTATCTTATGCATCTGAAATATTGAGGAACATTGTTCTAATGTGTCAGTGCTTAGATTCATCAGGAATAAAAAGAACATAAATAATATTAACTACCAAATTATTTTTTTTTTAACTTTTTGATTTTTGAGATGGAATCTCACTCTGTCACCCATGCTGGAGTACAGTGGTTCACTGCAACCTCCACCTCCCTGGTTAAAGCATTCCCCTGCCTCAATCTCTTGAGTAGCTGGGATTATAGGCTCGTGACACCACACTCAGTTAACTTTTTGCTTTTTTAGTAAAGACGGGGTTTCACCATGTTATTGAGGCAAGTCTCAAGCTCCTGACCTCGTGATCCACCCACCTTGGCCTCCCAAAGTGCTGGGATTGCAGGCGTGAGCCACTGTGCCTGGCTTTTTTTTTTTTTTTAGCTATACTGAGAGGAATTAACTACCAAACTCTAAATACATTATTAAGATATTTTAAAATAGATATTTATAATCTATTGATACTTGAATAAATATTTATGTGAAAATTTTATTTAGCATTTTTTAAATTCTATGTAATACTTTCCACCTACCTTAAAGTTTTGGTAGAACTTTGTTGGTAGAGGCATTTGACACCATTTGGGCTGAGCACAGTGGTTCATGGCTGTAATCCCAGCTCTTGGGGAGATCAAAGTGGAAGGATCATTTGAGCCCAAGAATTTAAGACCAGCTTGGGCAACAGAGCGAAACCCTGTCTCTACAAAAAACAAAAAAGAAAAAGGAATCATTTTATATTACTTTAATAATAGCAAAGCTTATTTGATTTAAAAATAATTTTTTAAAGAACTATATTGTTTGCACATTAGCACAGACAGCCATTAAATGAGGCTGTGGAGTGCTCAAGAAGGGGACTATGGGCAGCTTTGTCACATATACACCTACACTGGCTCATAGCTAGAATGTATGCACCAAGTGCAGGAATCTCTTTTCTCTAGATACATTTATGATAGAATACTGCCAGGCAAATAGTAGTTCAATAAATATCACTGAAAGCTTTTTTTTTTCTTTGTATGTGAAGAGTCACAGATAACATTGTTGAATCATACAGGAAGACAGTACACACTAAAAAAGTAAATCAATGTGAAAAATACTTTGAGTAACATATTTTTAATACTCAGATGCTTTGCTTTTACTGGGTAAATTCTATTAATCACATTAATTACATTTTCACAGATGAGCAGATGAAGGCTGCAGTTAAATGGCTTCAGTATCATATGTCTTGACTATAATATGTCTTGATTGTAACATAACATAACATAACATAACAACATAACATAACATACAAGCTATAGTATGTTGACACTAATATTCTTCTGCCCCCCCCCCTTTTTTTGATGGAGTCTTGCTCTGTTACCCAGACTGGAGTGCACTTGTTTGATATCAGCTCACTGCAACCTCCACGGGTTCAAGCGATTCTCCTGCTGAAGCCTCCTCAGTAGCTGTGATTACAGGTGCCCGCCACCATGCTGGGCTAATCTTTTGTATTTTTAGTAGAGACAGGGTTTTGTCATGTTGGCCAGACTGATCATGAACTCCTGAGACCAGGTGATTCACCTGCTTCTGCCTCCCAATATGCTGGGATTACAGGTGTCACTCATGCCCCTGTTCCTGGCCTGCTATTCCATTTTTATAAATACTTTAGATCTTCTCCCTTTAACTGGTGAGTGTTGTGATAATTAGCCTATTTGCAAGTGAGCAGGGGGGCTTAAGTGCATACACTGTAACTGAGGAAAACATACTCATAGCTCATCCATGTTAATGACTTGTCCTTCTTTCCATCATCTTCTCTCTGATTACTGTACTCTAGAGGCAACCAGGTATTCGAGTGTGTGGCAATTATGGCCTTTAATGTGTGTTTGGAGTCGGTCTGTATCTTGACCTTGATAACTGTAAATGAGGAGAAAGCTATGACTTAATGGAAAGTACATTGGCCTGAAAATTAAAGATCTGAGTCTAATTACACCGACAATTGAGTATCTGGCTTAAAATGCAGTTCTGTTACTGATGCTGCATTGAATTTAGTCTTTTCATTTAATCATTTTCTCCATTGTTTCTTTTTTTATAGAATGAGGAATATTATACTACCTTACATGGGTATTGTTATTATCAAATTTGAATGAAACTTATTTGAGGTATATTTGTTTAGGAAGACTGATGAAAGCAGAATTTCCAAAGTCCCGGTGTGTTGAAAATGCTTCTCTTTATACTTTATATTCATTGAATTTTATTGTTTGTTCTCTTGCTTTGTATACTGGTTTTGAAAAGCTTGCTGCTAATCTGATTATCTCTCCATTGTAAATTATTTGCCACTTTTTCCAGGAGGCCTTGAAGAGTTTATCTTTAAAATCTATTTATTTTAATAAAAATATGTTTCAGAGTAATTTTCTGAGTCAATTTTCCTCAGGTGAATTTTTTTTTTGACAAAGTCTTGCTCTGTCACCAGGCAGCAGTGCAGTGGCCTATCTCTGCTTATGGCAAACTCTGCCTCCTGGGTTCAAGTGATTCTCAGCCTCAGCCTCCCAAGTAGCTGGGATTACAGGCACCAACACCATGCCCAGCTAATTATATATATATATATATATATATATAATTATATATTTTATATATATATATATAATTATATATTTTATATATATATATATAATTATATATTTTATATATAAA